TATAATGCGTCTACAGCCATTGTAATAAATAGATACTGGAATTTTAAATAAGTCATAGAAAAGTAAGCACTCTGACTCTGATGACACTGAATTGGAACTGAATCACCTAGTACCATTCAACTGCTACCTATTAGCAACTTTTGTCGTCTCTCTTCTTAATTACCATTCTCTCTTCCTCTTTTCGCACATTTGAGCGGGGGGGGGGTTCTTTTCTCCTTTTTCATCATTTTCTTTAGGTAATACTTAATATGAAAGCAGCCCTTGACTTTTGCTTTATTATACCAGGGATGCCAAAGAACATATCAACTGTCACCATTCTTCTAATTCATTTGTAATTGCTACTGAGTGTGGTGTTGAGAAGGATTCTGAAGCTCTGTCTGGGCTCAGTGGAAGGGGCTGTGATGAGTTAGCAGTACCTGTCCACAGCAGACAGAGGGCAGCACAGGAGCCATGTGCTCTCTGCCCCTGCCGCCTCTGCAGCCTCAAAGGCTTCAATGCAACGCATTTGGGTTTTTTTAAGAAGTAAGAGTTGGTTTTGGCATTTAATTTATTAAATATGCACAGAATAGTAAAATATTCCAAAGGAAAAAACTTAACATTATAAGGTTTTTTCTTTTATGTTATATTATCAAAACAAACCTGCCTCTAAATCCTTATGAAAGATCATTATACTCCATATATTTTTTACAGAAATGATTTATCAAAACAAATTATAGTTTCGAAAACCAGTGAGGCAGATCTAAAGGTATATTCAAAATATTGATAACTCAGTGTTTTATAAGAAGGGTGAACAAATGCACAATAGAGAACAATGTAAGTCTTTTCTAGTTAATCCCAATACCAAATTCATGAGTCAAACAGCTGTGCCTACTCAAATGTGAAAAACTGTTAGGACAGCTTTGATCTAATAGATTGCTAAAACGTCTTAGAGCTTCACAACACTGATTAAAATTATATGGCATAACTCTTAGACACTTAAAGTCTTTAGAAACCCTAAATATAAAAGAAAATCTGCTTTTCTTAAAGTAAACGAAGAAGTGATTTTTGGATTTATCACTCTGTGTGTGTATGTCCACGCACACGCATGCAAGCGTGCGTGTGTGCTGATTTGTTCACACAGACTGGCTGACGAGTTGCAGCTCTGTTTCATTGAACATTAATGTTTCTATCTGTGGCTGCTAACTTTTATCCCTGTGTTTTCCCAAGATTGAACAAAAGCTTGCTCAGGCACAGAACTTAACTCAGGGCTGGGAAGAAATCAAGCACCTGAAGGCTGAGCTTTGGATTTATCTTCAGGATGCTGATCAGCAACTGCAGAATATGAAGAGGAGGCACTCTGAATTGGAGCTAAATATTGCACAGAATATGGTTTCCCAAGTAAAGGTGGGAATTAATTTGTCTCCAGGGGAGATAAAGGAAGCCAAGATAGTAAAAAACATGAGTTGTATTATGGATTTACTTCAATACGCTGGGGTGTCTGCCAATCCTCAGACATTAAAACAGCTATTTAAGGAATAAGAAAGAATCCAAACGGCCTTCATTTGGTTCCAGGGAAGGATAGACCATAAAGTAAACATTCAGATATATTCTTGGAGCTGCAAATGGCTACTTGCATGGGGGACATTCACTGGATACTTTGCTCCTGCACCAAGCAGCTGTCATTTAGCCTACAGAGCCAGAAGACTGTGCTGCTGAGCAAACATGAGGCCTTATTACTTTTTAGATTTTCATCACCATATTGCTAAAGCTAGGACTGTAAGCTTATCAGTTAATTAAATACATGTTTATATTAATATATGAGAATACTTCCAAAAGTTCATGGAAAAATGGGATTAAAAGATAATACGGGGCTGGCCCGGTGGCGCACTGGATAGTGCGCCGCTTGGGAAGCGCGGCGGCGCTC